GACTCTGTTAGCCAAAAACTAAAACCATTCACGAGGCCAACTCTTCAGACAAAGATTAGACTGGACTATGGGACATAAAATGATACTTGGGAAGAGTGTGCTTCTTAGCTCAAGTAGATACATGAGACTAAATGGGCAGCTCCTGTTCGGAAGCAAGATGAAAAGGGAGAGAGGGTCAGGAGCTGGTTGAATGGACACGGGAAATCTGGGGTAGAAAGGAGGAGTGTGCTGTCATAGTATAGGAAGAGGAACTAAGGTCACATAACAATGTATGTGGAACTGACTTGAATTGTAGACTTTCACTTAAAGCATAATAATAAAAAAAGAAAAAAAAAACACTCTGGAAGTTCCTCAAAATGTGAAACATAGAATTACCGTAAGAATCCGCCGTTCTGCTCTTAGGTATATACCCAAGAGAATTGAAAACATAAATTCACACAGAAACTTGTACACGAATGTTTGTAACAGTGTTACCAATAATAGCCAAAAGACTAGAAACAACCCAAATGCCTACCAACTGATGCGTGAATAGATAAAATGTGGTATATCCATATAGTGAAATGTTACTTGGCAATAAAAAGGAATGAAGTACTAATATATGCTACAACATGGATGAACCTGGAGAACATCACATTAAGTGAAAGAAGCCAGTCACAAAAGCCTACCTGCTGTGTGATTCCATTTATATGAAAGGTCCAGAATAAGCAAATCTATTGACAGAAAGTGGATTAGTGATTGCCCAGGGCATGTGTGTGGGAAGAGGGGGGCAGAATGGGGAGTGACTCTAATGTGTATAGGGTTTCTTGTTGGGGTGATGAAAATGGTCTAAATTTGATTGTGGTGATAGTTACACAACTCTGTGAATATACTAAAAGCCATTGACTTCTACACTTTAAAAGGATAAGTTTTATGATACACGAGTTATATCTTAGTAAAGCTGTTTAAAAAACACTAGTACCGTATATTTAGTTTGGTCCGAGAGCACTGAATTGTCTTTCCTAAAGTTATAGTGATTAAGAGAACCCATATTCTCAATAAGAGTACCAAGCTAATAGTAATAATAACGTATTTGCACAGTGCTCCATTATTTACTCAGAGTTTTTGCATACTTCATGTAATTTGATACCCCCTGAACCTCAGTTTACAGATGAAACTGGCATACATAAAGTGACTTGCCTAAGATTAAATGGTAGATCAAGTATGTAATCTCAGCTTTCTGATTTCTAGTCAACCACAGTCTTGTCAGAACAATGTCAGAACACGGCAAAAAAAATAGTGGTGACCCTTGATGTTCTCCAGATTCTTAATCATGTTTAGCCCTTTCACTTCTTGAATATGACTAGGAAGGTCACTTAACCTTCCGTGTTTTGGTTTCCTAATCTGGAAAATGGAAATGAAAAGTTATTTAACTTTCTGTCTAGGTTTTTTCATCCAGAAAAGGGGAACTAGAAATACTTCCTACCTCACAGGCATATAATAAGGACTAAGTAATAAAAGACAATTATAAAACATTCTGCCTGGCTATATAAATTCTTCACAGTAAACCATCAAGGAATATTGTTTTCCTCTTTCTTTAATGTTGTACGACCTCAGTAGGATGTAATAATAACTACTTATATCACTTTTCTCTAAGGAGCTCAAAACACTGTACAGACTTTATCAAATTAATTCCCCGTACATCCCTGTGAGTTACAGAGGAAACTGGTATCATTGGAGCTGGAGTGCAGAGAGGCAAAGGAACTTGCCTAAAGCCTTTATCATGTCAGGCCAGGTCTGTACTATATCACTTGCTCATTTATTTGTCGCTAGTGATACTTACTTGGACAATTACATTTATTCTCTGTGAGTCTGTCACTTGCTAAACATGGAGAGAGAAAAAAAAGCCTGAATAGCCCTCCGGAATCACTATAGATTAGCTTAAACTTTATTGAGGGTAAAGCTGTTCATTTTGAGCTGCCTGTGTCATCCTTGATCTAGACTAGAAAACAGTTCAAAACTCCTGAATATAAATTTTTGACTCGAATATCCACTATGGGAAGCACTGCCAACTGTATGTCCTGCTCTGTAGACAGGAGAAATCCTTGATGAGTCTTTGGAAGTTACTCTCATTTGTCCAGACACTGTTCAAAGAGTGAAGGCAGACTTCCTTCCAAGTCGTTGAGTGTTACAGTATGTTTACATGTATAAAGCTCCTTTACCATCTGGATTACAACCTAGATCTTCACCACTGCCATCATCATTTAATATTTTAGTTTTATGGCTTAATGCTATAACCTGCCCTTTGACAGAGAATATATATGAGGAGAATGTACGTGTAAAATGATTAGTACCTTTGGATGGAAAACCTCTATGGGATTGCCTTAGAGCCACTTCTAATAACACACTAGAAAGCAGAGTGAAGCTTGACCTGTCCACTGGAAAACATGAAATTCTGGCTCTTTTCTTCCATTAAGAGAAGCTCTGGTTTCTAGGTGAGCCTGAGCTGGCAAGGTTTTTTGGGGTTTTGCCTTTTTTAGGTTTCTCTTTTGCCATCTTTCATCTTCTTTCGGGGGGGGGACACCTCCCCCACCGCACATTGGATTTCCATTGCATATGAGCCTTGTTGGTGTGCTCTTCCATAGGGGAGATGGCCCTTGTGCTGTTGGCACTGTCCTGTGTACAGTTAATTAAACCTCCTGTTGTGAACCTGGATTTCTGCTGCTGCTTTTCACTGATGTGTGAATTTAGTGAAGCAGATGCATACAAGCTCAGCTGCACTCACAAAACACAAACCTTGGAAATAGCAAAATATGAATTTGGGGTAAAGACTCTAGCTTTTAAATAAACTTGGTAATCTGGCTAGCTGAACACTAGAGCTCACAAAGTGAGAATTGCATTTCTGAAGATAAGATGGGGCCCTTTTTGTGTTTTTATCTTTCCTTCCCAAAATGTATTGAGTTTTGTTATGATGCTTTATCTCTGTAAGCAAGAAAATAGAGCCAGAGGTACACTCACCGGCCATTGGGTCAAACCCAAAAAGGAGTTTCTCCTCATTTCTCTGGTGACCACATCCCAAGAAGTAGACCATGACCGGAGGCTTCCTAAGGCATCTGGCTGTCATGTCCTCATCGCAGCATAAAAGGGGTGAGGAGATCACAGAAGGTCAGAGTACGACTTTCTAAAAGTCTAGTAACCTACAAGATTTGGAGAACAGATAGAATAGTGATTTCTTTTTAAGTTTGTCCCTTGCCCTTTTCGTTTAACTAAATTGCAGAGTGATAGTCTTGATTTCTGACCATTTTTAAAATATTTTGTAGTGCCTTGATTCTTTCTCATGATTCTGTTTACTAAGACATAAAAAACTTACTTAAGAAGCACTTGATAATTTTTTTTTCCATTTCCCAGCTTGCTTAAACCCACTGCTGTCACGTGGATTCTGACTTACAGCAATCCTATAGGACAGAGTAGAACTGCCCCATAGGGTTTCCAAAGCTATAAATGTTTATGGAAGCAGACTGCCATATCTTTCTCCCACAGTTAGAGGGTTCAAACCACCAACCTTTCAGTTAGCAGCTGAGGGCTTACCCACCGCACCACCAGAGCTCCTCCCCACTTGCTTACTGGGATTAAAATATATAGCAAGTAATCAGTCTGGGGAATAATGGAGTCTTAAAAACATAACAGCCTCTGAATCAGACAACCTCTCTGTTCCTTCTCTACCCATCCCAACCCCTCTCAGCAAGTTTCAACTATGTATTTTTATATAAAATTCGTCAGCCTAGAAGTGCTTTTCGGTCCCTCTTTTGTGTTAATATCTGGTACAATGACTTGTGCTAATGCTTATGGTCTTTAGTAGGGAGAAAGAAATAAGCACACAGAGCGTAACTGGACACTGCATAATAAAGAATGAGCATGTGGTATAGGTCATGAGGCGAGAGGCCAGGGAAGGAGTGGGAACCCAGGTGGGGCTTGGATTGAGATAGGCAGAAAGGATGAAAGGCATTCTAAGTCAGAGGAACCATATGAGCTAAGGCAGGGGTATAGGTATGGATGTGATCTGTAAAAACAAACATAAGAACTTTGATATATGTTTAAGCTTTTTCATTAAAAAGTGTTGGGAAACAAGCAAACATAAAATACTAGGCTGAATAGTTATGATAGAGCCAAGTAGTGGAAGGCTTTAAATGCCTAACTGTCTTCTGCCTAGAACTAGACTTGCTTGGAAAGCTTTGATTGGTATCTGTCTTTTGAATGGAATGTTTTAGGATTTGAAGGGTGGAATGAGTTTGTATTTGGAGGAAATAAGGTCTCATTGGCCTGTTTGCTTTGTCTGTTTGTTTTGCTAAAGTAACATATTCAGGGAATTAAATCAGTTCTCTTGTAGAAGGAAGTCAGGTCAGTTAAGAGAGCAAGGTGTTTGTCCTGAAAATTAATTTTGTTTCCTAATTGTGAAATCTTGGCCTTTTGGCTTATAAAGGAGTCTTCGTGGCAAGACTTCTTCTTACTTACTTTGGACATGTTATCAGGAGGAAACAGTCCCTGGAGAAGGACATCATGCTTGGTAAAGTAGAGGGTCAGCAAAAAGGAGGAAGACCCTCAACAAGATGGATTGACACAGTGGCTGCAACAGTGGGCTCAAAATAACAACGATCATGAGGATGGCACAGGATCAAGCAGTGTTTCGTTCTGTTGTACAGAAGGTAGCTATGAGTTGGAACCGACTCTGCGGCACCGAACAACAACGAGTGAAATGACAGGTTTAATATTTAAAAAGCATTTGAATAGCTGTTGCAGAAGTAATATTGATTTATAGCATTGCTTCCTAATCTGAGGTTCCCCTGAAGGACTAAGAGAAATCCTACACTTACCTATAATAAGGTTGCATGGGCTGTTATTTAGAAATACTGTTTGTTTGGAAGATAAAATATGAGAGCCAAATGAGGGTAGTGAGGGGGAGGTGATAGTTCAGGGGGACCTGACAGTGTAAAAATTGGGAGTTCTTGTTGTAAATTATAATTATAGATTTGAGTAAGAACAAGTGACCCTACAATTTCCAATTACATGTTTTACCTTAATATGAATTTTCTAACATTTTTCCACTTAAGGTACATTTTTGCTTTAATAATATATTCTTGATAAATCCAAAAGGTACCTATGGCTATAATGTAGGTAGGCATTTGAATAGTGGTTTGATTTATTTTCCAGTTTATTTTCCTGTATCCTGTGTTATGCTAATAGTTGCTATTATTTATCTCATTTAAACAGTAGTGCTTAAGTTGAAACTTGATTTTAGTCAATTTTATTATGATGGGTTTACCATATTCTCAAATGTAGTACTTCTCCAGTGCTTTGTTAGTATATGATGAAGGTAAAAACAAATGTAGAGCTGTTAACCACAAACCTAACCTTTCCCCAATTTGCTTGATTTACTACAAATTAAATTATATTATGCCGGATATAAATCATTAAGTATATAATTTAAAGCAGTTGCTGTGATCCGTCTTTTACTGTTTTCTGCCCTCACACCCAAACTTCAAGTTTGAAAGGCAATGAAATGATTAGAAAACTGCCCTTCTGGAGTCCTAGGTGAGCATTCATTTCCATGTTGATATATGACAGTGGGATCCTTTCAGCTTGCAGCCGGAGACGCACACATTGCATTCAGGATGGAATGTTTGCTCCTCGACTTGTCTGCCTGATTTAAATATTCATACTTCACCAGAAGGAAAAAGCTGCTGACTTCTAAAAGTGGGTCAGTTTTTTTTTTTTTTTTTTAATGGCCCTTTTGGCACTTCATAACGTGTTAATACTGCCTCAGAGATGGGGAGTAGTTTGGCAGAGCTCTTCTTTATCACTTCAGGGGCCAAGGCTTCACTAGGCCAATGGAAGGAGAGAACATTGCAGATATTAATACTAATATGGGCTCTATTTGCCTTTCTGTTTGCTCTTCTGGATGTAGTATGTTAACTGGGAAGGATTAATTTGAGAAAAACCTTTTTATGTGTATGAATGATAAAGGCGATGATGTAAGTAAACAGCAGTCGCCTGTGTCTTTAGATGCATAGCATTTCAGAAGAAATTCCACAATTGCATAAATTTGTTCTATTTTTCTATTTGGATATGATAACTTTTGAAAGGAGTCTTTGAATAGGATGGGGTCACTGTTAAGTTGTGAATCTTATTCTCATATTGTTTAAATCAGCTTAATGATTATTTAAAGTATACTTTGTATTGATTGAGTTCCTTACATCTAAGACACCCAAGGGGCATTTTAAACATGAATGTCATTTTTTTATCCTCCTGAAATTAAAATTTAAAATACCTTTTGTGGAAAGGAGTTGTTGGATGGTAGGATGAGAAAGGGAGGGTTAGAGTAATAAGAGGTACTAGAAAGGAGAGAGATCTTCTGGAGATCTGTATTACCATGTTTCTGTCATAAGACATAGGTGAGATTGAGAGATTTCAGGTTATTTGTCCAAGAGAACTATTATACATTGCACTTATCTCTTTCCTCAGTTCCTAAAGGTTTGCAGAAATGACTCAGTAGCTTTCAAATCACTTACAGTGTGTCCATGGCTTGTCCTGTACCTTAGCTTAGGCCAGCTGGAGAGGTGATGGACCCCTTCAGAGTTGCACTGCACACCCAGATTGATACGGCTTCTTCTGGGATCTTCTTGAACATTGTCAAATATTAGCACCTGCTTTAAAATGGCCAAAAGATCTGTCCAGTGATCTGAAAGTTTGGTTCAAGTATCCCTAAAACTATGGAGTATATCCTGTTGAGGAATATGATTGGTTAGTCATGTGGCTCTCACAGGCCAGGGATGTGCTTGCTTTTGCCAGAATGATAAGTACTATATTAAGTTGCCTGGGACCCTGAAAAATAACCACAATATTATCAAATGGGTGGTTCTGAGGAATTATTTGTTTACCTTCCTTTAGACATTAGTTGTGCTCCAGAGATTGTTCTGTAAATCCCAAATTATATTAAATATAGTAGGGAACTAGGCATTTTTAATAGTTAGACATTTATTCAATAACTACTGTGTAGTTTCACGGGAGAAAGATCTGGCGATCTGCTTCTGTAAAGATTACAGCCAAGAAAACTCTTATCACATGGGGTTACTATGAGTTGGAATTGACTCGATGGCACCCAACAAGAACAACTATGTGCTAAGCACAGGATTAAAAAGTAAATAAAATACGAATCCTCTTTTCAGGAATCCTGGAGTGTAGATTTTTAAGGAATTCTGAGATGTAACTTTACTATAAGGCACAAGATCCTTCTATAAAAGAAACGCTACTACTGAAGTATTTCAGCATTCAGTGTCATGTTGTCTACAATTAACTTTCCTGTGGTTTGTGAGGAAAAAAGATATATGATGGTTTAGAGGATATTTAAAGGATATTTAAAGCAAATATTGCAATGTTACCAATTGTTGAATTTAGGTATTTGGTTTATCGAAGGGCTCATTGCACTATTCTTTGAACTTTCTGTATATTTGAAAATTTACAAAATAAAAAACAAATGATTCCTAATTTAAATCTGGGTTTTGATGTATTGGGTATGCTTATAAAGCAGCAAATTGAGTAGAACCTGTACCTTTGGAATCCTGACATGCATGCTTCGCTAAGTAGGTAATAGTACCCTAGAAAGAAGCAGGTAATCTTGGCCTGCCTATGATTGAAACCAAGGTGAAAAGACTTTTAACTTTCAGATTAACCCTTTGGTTAATATTCCCAGGATAAGTTAGACCTGGATGACTAAAAACTAATCAATTTTTGGTTTGTTTAGTAGTGCACACCAAAAAAAAAAAAAAATTATTCCTCAAAAGAACCACAGCACCCAAATCGTTGTTGACAAAATAACTTCTCTATACATTCAGAATGTTTCTAAGATCTCATTTGTTAAAGGCTTATCTTTTCCATCCCCCTGACTTTCTTTTTCTTTTCTAGTGACATATTATTGTGTATTCTAAAAAGCATATGTATATGTGTTGAGGAAATTCATTTTTAACAAATATGGCCATTTCTGCTTCTGTGTCTGACACTGAGTTGTGGTAAGATTATGGGGGAGAAGGGGATATAGAAGGGAGAATAGGAGGTTGGAATTTTGTACATGTTTTAAAAAGGAGACAGAGAAATAAGTATACGTACCTAGTGCTCGCTGTATTATCTTCACTATGAAAAGTCAGCAAGGGCGACCTATTTACTGTACAGGCACGTTTAAAACTAGTGCTACTGACAAAGGATGAGGTCAGTTTGGGAAATCCTTACTCTGGCTAGATGGAAAGCCTTAATATTGTGTGTGTGTGTGTGTGTATAGTATCCTCCTCTGAACTCTTTGTCAGTGTAGTTCTACGGGTGAATAGGTGAATGTTTAACCAAAGAGGAAAGGGAAGCTGTTCTGGGCTTTTGCTATTTAAATAGGCAATTGATAAGAGAGAATCGGAGCTATAACAAAAAATTACACTGGTGTTTAAACTTGAACATATATAGAATCTTCCAGTCCCCACCACAGTATGAAATTTCATATAAGATGCTTCAGGATTGAACCTTGAGGGTGTGTCTTTTACTAGCAGGACCTGGATAACACCTCCACTTCTTCATAGTCCTGCAGCACATACTCTTATTTTCATTGCAGTAGATTCCATTGTATTAGTTGCTAAACCCTAATTTTCTAATATAACACAATAAAGGATCTATTTTACTCTCAAAGTCATCTTAGATTATAGGATGAGCTATATAGGGGCAGTATGAGTCGGATCGACTTGATGGCAGTGGGTTTGGCTTTTGTTTGATTATAGAGCCTTAAACTCTCCCCCTTACCCTTTTTTAAAAAATTACTATTCAAACCCTGTCTCTTCTACTTATAATTAGATTGCTAAATTATTTTGGGATTAAAGAATCCCTAAAAAACTTTATTGTCTATATAACATAGTATTTTTTGTTTGTTTATAACTACCAGTAGTATTGTCACTGTATAGTGTATTTTCTTCCACCACTATCCCACCCTGCCACCATCCTTGCTTCATTCTCCTGTAAGGTGGGGCCACTGTGATTCATGAAATCCCATTATCTATGTGACTTGTATTATGTTCTACCCACTAAAATACAAGAATAGAGTGAAGAGGAGTCACTTGGGATTACTGCCAGAGGTTCAGAGGAAACCACATCTAGTAACCCTGTTATGTCTGGCATGGTTCATACTCAGAAGCCATCACAAAGAAGACTTAGAAGGTTAAATTCTTCTATTGGAATGTTTTCAGTTACATGAGCTTTAGGCTTATAAAGGCCTAATCTTCCCCCCCCAAAAAAAAATGCTGTTTGTGTCAAATAGTTTTTTTTTTTCATAAGTGTGTTACTTGGAAGTTTTGGGAAGATGCAGAAAAGGAAACAGAATGATAAGTACTCAGTATTTTTCATTCATGCATTTTTTTTTTTATTATTGTAGTTTAAATGAAGTTTACATTTCAAGTTAGTCTCCCGTACAAAAATTTATACACACATTGTTATGTGACCCTAATTGCTCTCCCGTTACTGTGACAGCACACTCCTCCCTTCCACCCCTGATACCCATGTCCATTCAACCAGCTCCTAACCCTCTCTGCCTTCCCATCTAACCTCCGGACAGAAGCTGCCCATTTAGTCTCTTGTATCTACTTGAGCTAAGAGGCAC